CATATATATATAAAAAAAATAGACTCTTACCATTTTTTAAAATAAAACAACCAGTCACTGAAGAAATACTGTCAATTTACATTTAGTCCCTAGGTTTAAACTCGACATAAGCAAAATATCCTACTCTATGTGGGGGCTGGAGGTGGTGTTAATTTTCAATTTCATTTTCAACTTTCAAATACTTGCTTTAAACGAGCACTGCCCCCCAATAACATCAGTTTTATTTTGTCACTTACTGAAATAAATAACACTTTAACTTTTTCTTTAACTTACAAAATGTCCTGGTTCTCCCAGTAATATGATGAAATACTGGCTAAAGTTTTCATATTTTGTTTTGGATTCTGTATCATTCTGTAGGTGGTTATGAAACAGAATGCTGTCATAGAACACTTGAAACAGAAGAAGACACTGACTCCAGCTGAGAGGGAAGAAAATCAGAGGTGAATATGCATCATAGTGCATCTTTAGATGTCAAAGTTGTACATTTATAACATCTTTTAATGGTGGTATAATAAAACACTGGTTTGTAAAAACCTGCATAAAGAAATTTTTCTATTTTAAAATTGGTTAAAGTAACACTCAAAAGTAACTTTCATAATGATGTTCTTAAAGTTAAGTAATTGAATCCTGTATATTCTCAATTTTATTTTGATTATATGTTTTTAAAGTGAAATGTTGTATTGCATGTGTTTGGAGCCGGCTACAGTTTTTAAATTCAAGGTAAAAACCATCCTTAAAGGAGCACAGAATGGAGAATTAATGGTTCTGTTGCAGAAAATCCTGGGTTTTGTTTGTCCTTTATCATGGCAGTTTATTTCCATTCTTGTCCACTGTACATCCCACTCTACATAAAGAATTGAAAAGTTGGAAGATAGCACTATTTGGCAAACTAAATTTTATGCTTGAAGCTGCTAAACATAAATTTGGAGTCTTTGTCGTTTGTCTTGGGGTTATTTCGACTCCTTTTCACTCATGCAGTTGCTTCAGATGGATAATCACAAGAGTGTGTTGTCAGATAGTAAGAAAAAGAATAGTGTTTTTTATAAAATTTTGATCATCAGAGTACAAGCTTAGTTGATTACAACAGCATCACTAGCTGCTACAACAAAATTGTATGGCCCTACAAAACAGCCAGCATATTACGTATGTCATCAAAATACAGATGTGTATCAAAAGACAGTATGTCTGAGCCTAAGACTACAGAGTTAGCAGCAGCTACTTGTCCTGGCCGTTGCTATTTTGTTGTTTGCTTTCAGCTCGTATGTCAACAGGAGTTATTTTTCATGGTCACTTTGGCAATGAGAAGCATTTGGTTTTCTAAATGGTGGGTTTGCAATAGAATGGGAAGGGAAAAGTAAATTCAGAAGAAGCAAAATACATTCATTTTCTAATTGAAATATAAAGCAAAATAAATGAAAATTGCAGAACAAGTGAGCAGGAAAAGAGATTTATAATTGAGTGTACAAAAAGCAGATGAAAAATTAATCCTGAGTTGTCATTAGCGAAGAAATTGGGAACTGTTTTATAGTGAATTCTATACACTGAAAAATATTTGTCAGTCCTTTTGCCAAAACACAAAAACTTAGTGATATTTGGTGGTCACTGGAGGGTGGAAATGTATGTATTTTAGAAGAAGTTATAAGCTTCCAAGTTGCTTTCATCCTACATCACAATAAACAAAATCCAGCTCTTTAAAACATGTTTGTGGAAACTGAATTGAGTGAAAATACCTCTCATCGTACTAAAGCCTAAGCTTTGTTAGGAGTTTTATAGGGGAAGGGGAGGAATGGTTAGTTCTCATATCAGTTAAATGAAATTGGGACTGGCCCTCTTGAGCCTAACTAGGGACTTGATCTCTCCCAGTGGTGTTCTAGTAAATAAGTATGAGTGGGAACAATGCATGTTACTAAATTTACCTTGTACATCTTAAGAAATGTAATAATTTAGCTTGCAACTTGCAGAGACTGGAGAACTAAATGATTCTGCATTCTCAACTGGGGATAAATAGAGGCAACTCAGCACAATGTACTTTTTCTTTATTTCTTCCCCAGAATGATTGTGTGCAACCAAGTGATGAAATATATTCTGGATAAGATAGATAAAGAAGAAAAACAGGCAGCTAAGAAACGAAAGCGAGAAGAGAGTGTAGAACAGAAACGTAGTAAACAGAATGCTACTAAGCTCTCAGCTCTGCTTTTCAAGCATAAAGAACAGCTGAAAGCTGAAATATTGAAAAAAAGAGCACTTCTGGACAAAGATCTACAAATTGAAGTGCAGGTAAGGACAGTAATTCTCAAAGACTAATTTGATTTTAAGCTGGGGAGAACATTCCTGTGTTCATCTTTAATTTATCTGTTTGCTCAGTGAGATTTTAAGGAAACATACAGGAAGAAGTTCTGATTGTGGATGCATGGATCTCTGCGAAGCTAGTATATGTCCTTTTTATGCTTCTTGTTTTTCACCTGGACTGAAATTACCTTGTTTCCTGAAACAGCTTCTGATAAATTACAGCCAATGGGTTATAGTAGGCCAAGAGTATCATCCCTTAATGTTATGTGAATTGTAGGTTAAGCATATTAAAGCATATTTAAAATTTTGCATATTTAAATGGCTTTAATTATTTTCTTTTGGTTAAGCATGGGGATTTATGTCTAGATTTTAATTCTGTCCTGGAATAATCATATGAAGTGCCTCCCTCTCTATTTATTCATTTAATATACTTCAGGAGGAGCTAAAGAAAGACTTGACTAAAATTAAGAAAGAAAAAGAAAAAGCCCAGGCAGCTGCTGCTGCAGCCGCAGCTTCAGCCGCTGCACCACCACCACCACCGCCACCCCTGCCACCACCACCACCACAGCAACATGCAGCCAGCGTCACCTCCTCCTCCTCCACCACAGTCCCAATGCCAGTATCCTCCCAGAAGAGAAAGCGAGATGAGGAGAAAGATTCGTCAGCTTCCAAGTCCAAGAAAAAGAAAATGATTTCTACTACCTCAAAGGAAACGAAGAAGGACACAAAGCTTTACTGCATCTGTAAAACGCCTTATGATGAGTCTAAGTGAGTAGTGAATGCCACAGCCTTTTACTGTGTATTCTTAGCTTTAGCTTTAGTATTTAGCTGTTAGTGCAAGGTAGTTCTAGAATTGGAGATAGAGTATTAGGCGTTATTGCAAGTGATCACTAAAGTATAAAGAATAAAGTCTCTGTTTTCCACTAGCAGTTATGACATACTTGAATTATACTATTAATGTACGTGATTTATATTTTTACTTGTTTGCATGTTTCCATTGTATGACCTTTCTGTCTCACATGCACATACTCTTTTTTCTTTTTTTCCTCCGCTCTGTTATTCTTTCTTTTGCCGTTTTGCCTCTGCCTCGGAAGCAAGTGACAATTTGGTTTGAGCAATTTCTTGTGAACAAGTAGCTGATGTGTTTTTTAGAAATAGCTTTGGTACCGTCTTCCAATAAATGACTTTTCTTTGTGAGTCAATAGTCAGTAAAGGGGGTTCCAAGTTACTGGACTGCAGTTCACTTTGGACAATGTTTCAGGTAGAAATGGTTTCCATATGTCATCATTTACATCCCAGGTTGATAAAAAATAAATGTGTAAGCATTTGACAAAGTGAAAACTGCAGTTCTTTGTAGTTTGATTCTGACTGTGAATGAGGAAAAATATTTACGCTACATACAAAGTTTGTGAAGAAATTTAGTAAGTGGTGGAGTGGAAGATTCAGTGGATTGCAGGGGGATAGTGTTATGCATCCCTGCTTAATCTAGAAGTGACTAATATCAGTAGTCAGTATTGGTTAACATCTGATAGCTGTGTAGAGATGTATGTAAAATAAATTTGACTTCAGACCAATTCCAAGTGAGTATGTATCTGCTAAACAAGTGACAATACCAAAAAGTTATAATTGGTGCCATTTGGTGGTGGTTTAAATGCTGATAACAGAAAGAAATCATAGAGGTGGAGTAGTGTTTTCACTCCAGTAATGGTTCTTCATTCCAAATTTATGGCCAGGGCTAGAGGATCTCTTGAGGTTCCTTTTAGCCTTTTATTTTTTTAATTTTTTTTTTTTTAAACGAAGTTGAGGTCTTTGGGTTTTTTCACCATGGTTGTTCAGTAGCTCTGACCATTACATCAGTGCGGGAAACTGGACTGCTCTGTGTGCTGCCATCACTGTAGAAATAGCAGGCTTCTGATGCCCGGGTTGTTAATTCACTACTACTTCAAAGGGATGTCACGTATCTCACTTAAAGTAAGAACGTTGTGTTAGGCTTTCTGTCGTCCAGTAAACTTAGGAGGATACCCTGTTCTCATTTTGTTGTGATACCGAACCAAGGTCTGTGTATTACTGCTTCTGTTGTTAGTAAGACAGTTAGAACTGTCACAAAAATAAGATGAGATGAACAAATTCTGTGAGCAAAAGGATTTGATTGTCAGACTAACTCTTTCTGTTGACTTCAGTGGGCATTTGAGTAAGACAATGAAAAATGTGGTCATAGAGTGAATTTTGGTAGCCTCAATCGAGAACTGTGCTTAAATGCACAGAATAAAACTGCAAGAAAATGAAATGTTAATAACGTAGTAGTATCTTTAGCAATATGATTCAGTTCTGCTGCTTTGCTTTTTGTGAATTCTAAATTTTATGTTCTTACAAATTATGACTGTACTGTTGAACTACATTATCTTTTCACTATTTAGAAAGGGATTAGTCAAGCTTTAAAACAGTTTTCTGGTAAATATTTTTTTTATTTTCATATATATATATATATATATAGGCATCAGATACTCCTCTTTGTGCTGGTGTCTCTTTTCTACTTCAAAAAAGATAGATGTGCTGCTTGAAAAGCTAATTTGTGGTATATTATGAATACCCTATGCATTTTTTAGGATGTAGTAAATCCTCAAAAGTCATTCTGTGTTGTGTATTTTATTGCAAATCTCTTTGTTTAGTTCTCATTTGTGATATTCCAGGGTTGTAGGGATTTGCTAATACTGTTTTCGAGAATGGTCAGTAAGGGTATCCTTCTAAGATTCCTACTTAGATTGCAACTTCTTTGTTAAAGCATGAAGTGACGCCTGTTCCATATTCTAGTGGCAAGGTTTAGCATCTACACCTAGACATAAATGGGCTTCCACATCACCAGGAGCAAACAGACACAGTCCCTCTTGGGAGGAGGACACAGGCTGAATCGTTGTTGATAGTTGTCAGAAGGAGCTATATTGGTCCATTCTTTATGGAAGGTGTGTGATACTTTTTTTTTTTTTAGGATTTGTCTGACTGAAAATTAAGAGAAAAGGCAGGATCCAAGTATCCAGGATGTATGTGGAGGCCCAAGAAATTAGAGGAGCTTGTTTTGTGGAGCATGTGCTAGCTACTGTCCTGTTGCGAGTGTGTAGTGTCCAGTGGGTGGTGTTTGCAGACTGACAAACTAGGATGGCAGTAATTCATACAGCAGCGCGTGGCAGGCGGTCGGTCGTCTCCGAAATCTAGGAAGATCAAGGTTCTGAGTCAGCTTGCTTTTGCTTAGGCAGAGAGAATGGATGTTTAACTTCGCCCATCTGGTTGATTGTCACTAGTCATAGGTATGTTTTGAGATATCCATACACAAAATGTCAAACATCCTTGCATAATATTTTACAGTTTTGTCACATCATTCTGTGCAAGGTCCCATTCACATGATTCTGTACCTGGTTCCCTTCACTTTGTGTCATACCATATCTGGTTCCGTCACATAGCTGTATCTGAGAGTAGATATTATTCTCTGAAGAATGGTCCACATTCCAATTTGTTGCAATTTTGAGTAGTTTAATATCTGTTTTTCAGTGCCCCCCTCCCCCCCCAAAAAAAAAAAAAAATTATGACAACCATGTCCTGACCCCATTTTCTTTTGTATCATGTTATACCAATATGTATTCTACACATGGCTGGTATGCATGTTCTTCGTAGTATACTTGTAACTCCTAGTTGGTGTTTGCGCTTTGCTTTTGTTTTTTAAATTAACTGAGACCTACATTTTCAAATCTTAAGGAAATGTTTCAGTGGCTTTTGAGCTACGGTTTTGAAAATGTAAATCTTTTTCTTTGGCCTTGTCTTTTTGTGCCTTTTACAGTTTTTCACACACACATTGGAGACATACATTTTTAGCCCAGTTTTGTCAAAGTCTGGTTACATATTGATGTGCATTTTAATGAACTGTCAATTGAAAATTGACCCAAGTGACCTTACTGACAGTATAGCTGCAGCATGAGATGTTAGTTTGTAAGGATAGAATGCTAGGAAGCGGGGAAACTGAGACAGAAAACTGAAGAAAGTAGGCCAGCAAGAAAGTGCATCAGAGAGAAATGCAGGGAAAAGTGCCATGCCATTTGAAATGACAATTACATTGTCATTTTCATTGTGAATACTTTTAGGTTCTATATTGGCTGTGATCTTTGTACTAACTGGTATCATGGAGAATGTGTTGGCATCACAGAAAAGGAGGCTAAGAAAATGGATGTGTACATCTGTAATGATTGTAAACGGGCACAAGAGGGCAGCAGTGAGGAATTGTACTGTATCTGCAGAACACCTTATGATGAGTCACAGTGAGTTCTGATAAGAACCTCTTATTTAATGTTTAGGTAGCAAACTGCTCTGACTGTGGTTACCTGTTCCTTACAAAGAAAAAAGAAGTTATTCTGCCTATGTTGTATTCATTCGTAATACAAATTGCTTTTCAGTAATTGTCTTCCTCTCAAAAATGTTTCTATACAGTAAATGTTTAGGAGAAGTGACGTTTTCAGGGTGGTCAAAATGTGTTGGTCTTTAAAAAAAAAAAAAAAACAACAACATGTACTTTAAATTGGGATTAATTTTTTTTTCTTTTTTTAACAAGGGATGGTTAGAAAGATTAAAAGACAAATGTAGTTTTTTGTGGATTTTTTTTGTGCTTTAATCTGATCTGGATAGAAAGCATAATTCTAGTATGGGGGTATATGGTTGGTATCTTTTACTGTAAGGCTTTGTGTTATAGAATACCCCTTCTGTATTCAACTACAAGACTGATGCTTCCATATGAAAAATGTTTGTACGGAGTGAAACAAGAGCCCTAGTTGTAGTCCAGTTTGCACAAAATGTATCTTGAATTGTTTTGGAATACTGGTTGGGTGAGACTTCTGGCATTACACTGTCCCTTTCAACTCTAAAGCAGAGGAATGATTTTTGAAATCTTGATTGCTTGAAGGTGCCTAGTATAAAATTTAGGAACTAATTTTGAAATGGTCTGTAATTTAGCCTGTTTGTAAATACAAAAGCAGTTTGAATAGCGTAATTAGAATTTGTCAGTCTGAAATATCACATGTTACACTGTTGTATTTAATCATGCCGAGTATCTGTTTGTGTGCAGGGGATTGCAGGTTTATGTATTTAAATGTAACCTTTAAATTAAATAGATAAAGTCACTAACATTTTTTTTGGATCTTGCAGATTTTACATTGGCTGCGACCGATGTCAGAACTGGTATCATGGGCGCTGTGTTGGCATTTTACAAAGTGAGGCAGATCTCATTGATGAATATGTGTGTCCACAATGTCAGTCCACAGAAGATGCCATGACTGTACTCAGTCCACTAACTGATAAAGATTATGAAGGTTTAAGAAGAGTACTACGTTCCTTACAGGTGAGAATAAGGATTGCAGCGAAGTGGAGTGCTTTACTGTATAGTACATATCTAGTGAGTCTTGGAGTAGGTTTTGATTTCTCTTCTAGTAGTTTTGAGACTTTATAAAAAGGAAATAGCAAAGCTTTTTTCTTGTGAGAAATGCCACTGTGTCAGCTGTGAACTGATTGGCATTATTGTGCTGAGGAATATTTACAATAATTAGTATATCACTGCTTCTGAGTTAGTGAAACTAAACAATCTCTTCAGTGGAAGGCTTTTAAAGGAAGCAGGTTTACTTAGAATACCAAAAGGCAGAGTGGTAGCCTAACTGCACTGGATGTGAAGGTGCAATGTTCTGTTCTCGGGTTAGTTTTCTATGATTTCTGATCTACTCTCCTGTACTTTAATCTCAGAGTTATTAGATTTCAGTAGTGTTCTCACAGAAAGTCGTTATGAGCATGTAAATGATGGCATCCTGATAATAAGAATTACATCACTGACTGTTACATTTCTGGTTTATCTGTCACTCCGAAATGTGCCTTTTCTGCTACAACTGTAAAGAATTTTTAAGAATTTTGATAAAATAATTGTGTGGTAACAGAAATCCTCAAAGAGTAGGATTTAGCATTGTCCTATATTTTGCAGACATTTATGAAAACAAACTTATTTTAGAGCCCTTGAAAGTGAAAACAGTAGCTGATTTCTAGGTGTGAAGTGCCAAGCACTCTCAGTAAATTCATTACATACTTCTCTATGCAGCCTGTTTAGCACAGTATCCTGTTATGTCTGAATTTCACATTGTTTCCTGTTTTGAAGACCAACTACTCGGTCATTGACTTTGAGCTTTAAAACTTTACCCAGTCATCAAATGAGAACTAGTTACCTTTTCATATAATGCTGCACTTCCTTAAATTCAACTCTAGACACCAACAGATGAAAGTATAATGAAAATATTTCGCTACTAAATAGTCCTAATTTAACTTAATTTTTTTTGTAATTATATCTTGTTTTCCTGACAGGCTCACAAGATGGCATGGCCATTCCTAGAACCAGTAGATCCCAATGATGCACCAGATTATTATGGTGTTATTAAAGAACCAATGGGTAAGTGTTTCTGAGCAATAGCGTGAGTGAGTGGATTTGGGTTTTTGAATATCAAATTAAGTACCTGCTGACCATTTCCATTCAGGGATCTTAAAGATATGTTTTGCAGAACACACAGTTTTTGCAGTTAGGCAAATGAAACAATGTGATTTCTCATTGATATGTTGAGAAGTTTGATACATTTAGAAGTTCATGAGGGTTAATATATCTACTTCTAGGCTGACTCCTTAACCCTAAATACTGTTGGTCTAATGTACAAAACGTGAAATTCAGTGCAGCAGTAGGATAGAATTCTTGTTTTTAAATTACTTTATCTATTTCAAGAGGACAATTTTGCTATGTTTTGCTTGGGTTTTTCTTGTCTTTGTGCATCAGTTTCTCCTACAAAGTGTGGGGTATGTACTCTAGAGTTTGAGGAGGAAGTGGTGCTAATACAGTTAAGTGTTAAGATGGAGTTTAAAATTATCTTCATCTGACTTGATAGTATACTAAATTTCGTATTATATGTAATTTGTCTTTAAAGCTGTATCAACAAGAATTTATTCAAATGCTGTGTACGTGGGGGAACGTGGAAGAGGAGATGCTGCACCTTTACAGTGTTCTATTCTGATCTTATTACCAGTGACCTTGCCAGTTAGCTAGGAATTAGCTACTTGAATGTGAAACCTCTTGGGAAAATCTACCTCCTGCCAGAAATGTTATTCCTTTCCTTCCAGTTATTGAACCAATACCTTTTCATATGTCTAAATGAGAGCTAGTGTATCATTTGAACTTTCCCACCTACTCCTTACTGATCCTAGAAATAGGAAAGTTAAATTTAGTGTCTTGGTGAAATTGTAGTATGTTGACTGAAAATAATATTTCGCTTAGAAGTTGTGTCTTTTTCTGTTCCAAAGTTTTGGATTGTGCCGTTATGAAAATGCTAAACAACTCCTATTCCATAATTGATGGTTAAAGTTTATAAGGAAAGCTCAAATAATAATATAATTAAGCATGTGGTGATTGAATGAAGTAAACAAAAATACATTTAGCCCTTTCTCGCTTAACTAGCAGGAGAACACACTTCTAAGTATACAAGTAAATATATGTAAAATACACTAGGTAATCCAGGCCCATCTACATTTGCTTTCACACATTCTGGCATTACTGGCATTTCAAAATAAGCACTTTAAGGGCATTTTCCAATGGCAGGTCATTGTTTTTCCAGCTAAAAGTGCCACTATACCTTTAGACAGCTGTATTTATAATTGGCAGTTCTCGTTCCTCTCCCTCTTTTTAATTTACATTTGCATTAAAATAGGACAGTTACTGCTTACTTCACCATTCCCATCTCATTAATGTGTCTAGTCAGTAAGAATGAGAGCACTAGCATTTTGCATGATCCTGCACTTGAAATCTCTTTCATCTGTGCCATGTGGTAATGTGCATATGCCCATGAAAATTGATAATTTATTCAAAGCAAGTCATGAATTCAAATAAATAATCAGAAAGTTTAGATAGCTGTTACATGTACACATATGACTCTTGGTCTCAGTGAGGGCTGTAAAGAAAATAAAGTACAAGTAACTGAATCCAGATTGTCTGACAATTTTTTTTTCCCTTAATTTCTTCAGAAAAAGCAAGTAGCTTCCTGCAAAGACCCAAGTTTTCCAAGGTCATTTCGATACTTGCATTTTAATTTAGCTGCACACAACATATTCATGCATAAGTGTTTATTCTGAAGGAGCCCTACTGGTGTCACTACCTCACAACCAGCATTCCTGGAAAAGCAACACACCTAGATAGGCTTTGTTTCCCACAGTCTGACAATGTGAACTTCTGTTGAGGATGAAAATGTCTCATTTTAATAATTTTTGGTTTCTTTAAAGACCTTGCCACCATGGAAGAAAGAATACTGAAACGTTACTACAAAAAGGTCACGGAGTTTGTGGCAGATATGACCAAAATTTTTGATAACTGTCGTTACTACAATCCAAGTGACTCTCCTTTTTACCAATGTGCAGAAGTTCTTGAATCATTCTTTGTACAGAAACTAAAAGGATTTAAGGCAAGCAGGTAAGCTAAAGTGTTCCTAGTCGTAGATGTTCTGTTGTCCCCTAAAATCTCCTGAATGCTTTTATAAGCGTACCTTGCATTCATACAGGGATTTGCCTCTTCATGCACTTTCCTGGACACTGCTTTTCTTTTGAAGGAAAAAAAAATCTGTTCTATAATAGCCAGCTGTGATTTGCTGTCAAAATTAAGGCTTAAATACGATTTTGTGGAGGTTACTTTGTAATGTTTGTTCAAAATGAGTTGTTAGATGAAAATTTGGGCAGTATCATAGAAGTAGAAAATTTGAATGAGACTTTAAGTCATTGCTGCACAAAGCTTCTTGAGAATCGTTTCTGATCAGGACAAATACTGTGGTGTTCTGCGTTCTGATAATGTTCTACTGTGCAGTAAATACTTTTCAGATGCTAAAAAGAGACAATCCTTCCATGAAGCTTATAATCCAATGAAAGAAATTAAAATACTTCAGTTTTTACTACCTTCTCTCATCTTGTTATAACTTACCATATTTGAAACGGAGAGAATAAGTAAGGTTTACAGTAAGATATGGAAAACGAAACACAATTCAAAATTAACTATTTAAAATTAAACTTACTTTTTTATAATGTTTTCCTGTAGAAAGATCAATATAGAGTATTTCCCTAACGTAGACATTCCTGGAAAAGAATATGCAACTCTACTACAATTTTTTTCTATTGCTTGCTGATTGTGTCTGGTAACACGTACATGGGAGTTATATGGCACTAGTCAAATTATAATGTGGTGTTTCATACAGCTGTTCCTAAAACCAGCTTACTCAAAACACTAATGGAGTATACAGATTTCTTCTGTAGCACGGCTGTATTCCAACATAAGCCAACTGTAACTGAGTTACAAATGTTGGATGCCTTTCAGCATTACTCAGAAATTGTATATGTCTAGCAGTTAACTTTGTCCATCTGACTGTAACAGTCAGAACTGTAGCAGACTGCTAGTCTAAGATATTAGTGCAGGATTATATCCATTTGTAATTAACTAAATTGAAAGCTTCACTTTATATCCATTGCTGTGGAAGCGGTCTAATTTTCTATATGCAACAAGAATAGAATTGATAAGAAGGGATGAGATCAAATGAATTAGTCCAGCATTTTTCTTTCCAATTTAATACTGTATTAATGATTTTTATCAGGTAGTTTTCAACTCATGTTTCTGTCATCTTGCTTTAGCTGGTTATCCAGCATTCACTGCTTGCACACTAATTTCATTGCTGCATCTTATTGTTTTTCATTTATACCATCCATGTTCTTTCTTTTCTTGCAGATTGTGATATCTTTAGTCTGAACTTTTAAACTGGAATCAGAACTGGATGTTGGGGTCACTTTCTTTTATTGTACAATTCGATAACATTAAACTGCCCTAAAAATCCAGATCATTTGTCTAAAAAATAAACGTTGTTGGGTTTTTGGTTTTTGTTACCAGCAGTCATGCTGGTAAACATAACTGTATTAACAAAAAAATTGTCCCACTCCTCGAATACTGTATTGAGAAAAATGAAAAATTCATCTTGGAAACCATGTATTTTATTGTTTTATTTTCAGTCACTAATAAAACTGTGAATGTCAAAGAGGAGTTTTGCTGAACTCTGATTAGCAAAAATGTGATTTTAACATGCCTGTTCAGTTTTTTCTACTAAGTTAATCCAAAGACTTCTTGAATAAATTTAAGCAAAGTATACCTTATTATAAATATTCACAATTAAAAATGTCTTTTTGCTTTCCTTTTGATGGACTACTATTATGTAAATAGGAGAGTAAAACTGCTTTCAGGCATTTTGGAATATTCCAGTGACACTGCATTTTACGAGTACTGATATATTTGTACACTGTAGGAAAAAATGTGCTTAAAGTTCAGAGAGAATTATTTTAAGTGTTCTTTTTTCTGAAGGGGAAAAAAAATAAATGGAAGCAACATGGTGGTAATTCCCTCATTGTGATTTATCCTTGGCAACACCTTGCAGCAACTGTGTTCTCCAAAATGAAGGGTGCTTAATTCTTCACTTTCTTCTGTATTCTGCAGGTCCCATAACAACAAACTGCAGTCTACAGCTTCTTAGAGTTCAGCGTGTTAACCTAACACACGAGCAAGAATCTGGTTGTCTGAAAATTTTTAATTAAGAAGCCAGATGTTTTTAGTCAGGTTATCCTGACAAGACTTGATGTAAACTGCGTTTTTATTGGTCACAACAGTCAAATTATATTCTTGGCTTATTTTGTCCAAAGGACAAAGAGATAAAAATCAGCAGCACCACTTTCTTGTCAAGATCAAATTGTTGTACTATTGTGGCAGAAGCAGGAAAACTTTGTTTTGTTGAAGGAGAGAGAAAGAGAGCAAGAAAAAAGATACAGTAAATGGGGTCACGTTTAACTCCATGGAAATGCCACGTCTGTTCTTCAGTGAAGAAGCTGGTTTAAAGTCCACACAGAAAACTTTGACTGTATTTATTTATTGTTGCAAAAAAGACGCTTTTTTATTGCTGCCCTCATTTGTCAGCTAATTATTTTTTCTTATAAAATCCAGCCCCGGTTACATGTAATCCATTCTGTATCTTAACATGATTCCTGTAGGTAAAAGTACAAGAAGACCTCTAGATGTCTTTTCTTTCTATGAAAGGAGCTGCTATGTACACATGTGCACACACAGAGAACTGGGAATCAACAATGAGTTTATCATTCATGGTAGATAAAAACAATTAAGCTTGCATAAAAGTTGGGCTAAGTGGTCATGGACTACAGACTCTGTTGCCTTGAATATAACAGTACAATTTGTCATTTACTCTGCACCAGACTGAAATGAGTAAAATCTATTTGAAGGTATCTTGTTTGTAAACATTTGTCAGATTCTAATTTTTTTCTTTTGTATTAAAATTCAAAATATGGATGTATATGAAACAAAATAAATGGAGATAATTGTTCTCCCCACAGATGTAGGTGTCTTTGAGTGTGCGCTAGTATGTTTGTAACACCTTGGGGATCTGTTCAGATGTTTCAAGTAACAGGGGAGGGAAGCGGCCAGGGAGATCTGACTTTATTTTGCTCCAAAGGTAGCGTTCACTACGTTTCGTTCTTAAGCAGCTGCTATCCCTTTATAAAATTTCTACAGTGGTGCCAAAATTACTGTAACAGATAACATGGTAGGAAGTATTTTGTGAAATGTCACTGCCCACCGCTGAATTAAGTGGTATATTTTGCCAAGTACTCTAGGAATGTGAAGTACCCAGTGTAATTCTATCTTTGAAAGGCGTTCTGGACTGCTGCGTTGTTTCCTGGATGAGGAGTGCTACTATGAGGGATAAATTGAAGTCACAAGAAGATGCAAATTGCAGATGACGTTGCTGTTTCTTTCCGATCTATCACTTTCACATTGCGTATCTAAATGACTTCCTCCTATTACCTGTCTATAGTTCAATCGGCCATGGTTTGTAAGCGGCTCTTCAACCATTTGACTAGCTTTTGCACTAATTCACAGTTAACTTCTGTTCTACAGTGATCTGGGATTTACCTGATTTATGGATAAGCTCCTTTTGGGTTTAACCTCACACCTTGCTATGCAAGAACCTCTTCTGTTATTTTTCTTAAAAAGATGTTGCTACTGACCACACTTTCTTACACTTACAGGCTCAGGTGTACAGGTTCTTCTGGGATAATTTTATCTAATAAAAACCCGTGGTTTTTTGTACATACAAATGTTGTCATTTAACCTATATGTGAAAATTAAAAATAATTGTTCAATGTGAAAACAATAATCCATTTATGCTTCTTAAAGTTAAAGAAGAGTAGTTGCATTTAGGTTATGTTGTCCTTTGACGTTTAAAAAAATGCTGCATATTGTATGCATTGTGTTTTTAATGCAAAAAGGAAAAATCTCAACTTTGAACAGCATTTGAACATATCCTGCATCTCATCAAAACTTCACAGTATTTCTGTACTATTTATTCATATATAAATATATATGACATCATTTAAAACTTTACTACCTGTAGGCAATAGATTGCTATGTTTTTAACAAATTGTGGCAAACTGAAGAGTACTTTTTTGTACCTTATAGGACACATCCTAGATAAATAAAGTAATGTGTTTGACATCAATTTGGTGGTGTTTCTAATGAAACATTTGATAACGTTGCCGTGTATAGGTCTTGGCTTTGCCAGATTATATATAACTGCCAGTAAATCAGGTTGATTAGGGAAATAATCCATACATGCAATTAGTAATCTTGCTGAGAGCCTTTTTTAGTGTTTTCAATTGCCATTGAGTAGGTTATTCGTGGTGACTTTTATAGTTAAATGGTGTTACTGAAAATACATCACTTGTAATTAATACCCACCTTCCTTAAAAGCATGGTAAGTTCATTAGATTTGTGATCTCTGTTCAGTCCTCCTGCTCTTGTATTTTTATAAATTACTGCAACATGTTTCAAAATGGTCATACGTTGTAACACAGATGTTGATAATGTGAGCTATACCAGCTTGATTTTCTTTTTGTCTCCTCAAACAAATTAGAAGCAATTGTCCTTGGTCTAGATTTAGTTCATGCAAAAGTTAACGGGGATTTAAAGTAGAATAAAAAGTTGTGCTTACTCGAAAGCCTTAAAAAGAAAGACAGGAAAACAATATTCCTGTATATCTGGATTTCAGTGTATTGGGTGCAGACTTTTGATGCTTATCCTGCTGGGCAAAAAATAATTAACTGTAAGGTATCAAAATTACCGTGGCAGCTATTGCATGTAAGTGCCATCATCTTTTCAGTGTGGTTAATGCTGTGAGGTTTTTGTAATAGTGCAAGATTGTGGAAATCCACTTGATCTAGGAATTTTTTTTTTTCTTCAGTATGTTAGTTAGCATGTGATAAGCCTGGTAAAAAATAAGAACAGTAGTTACGCTCTTGCTCCAGCTGTATTTCAGTTGGGCTGTGAAATACAGTGGCTTGTTGCTCGGCTTGTTGTGATAGCATTTTAAGGAGCAACCTTCCAAGCAAGAAAGGGAAGGTAAGATGACTTTATAACGCAGAAGGAGAACATAAAATGAATTGCTCTCCAGGCTTGCTTCTAGAGCAATAGTTGTATCTGAGAGTGGTGCAGACATTGTGTGTCAGCTACTGGCATTTTACTCAGGCTTTGGATGTCATTAGCAACTGGTATACTATTATTTATCTCTTCCGAGAGACAATCAAAATGAGATACAGCCGTGGATGTTATTTTTGTACCCACGCTTTGTCTATTTTAGATTACGATAATGTCTTGGGGGCGGGGAAGGATGCTTAATTGCTGTTCTGGGCAAGTGGATGACTGTAGGACTTGTTGGGTAGTCCCTGGACTTCAGTTGAAAATAGAAACGAAGAAACTCGAGATGCACATGTAACCCTTCCTCCTTCCTTCTCTGTCCCCCCAAGTCCATTCCAGTGCTTTGATTCATTGCCAGGGACAGTCATTCTGCCAAATCAAAAGCCCCCTCAAAGTCTGTCAGGAAAATTCCATCTATGTATGCTGCGCTCTGTGCAAAATCTTTTATGTAACAGAAGTGAGACAGTGTATTTTTTAGATAGACACAAACTATGATTAAATTTCTGTCTTACAGTAACAGCCTTCTGGGTCCCAGAATGTGCGATGTTTGCTCTTGCCATTTGGCTCCTATTCCATACCCAGAAATACGTCATACAGGGTCACTTACCGCCCATCCACTGCTCCGTAGCTTTTCAGTGACGCCACCTCAAGCTGCAGACGTGTATGACAGGTGGAATTGTGTTAGAACTACCTTTGCTTCAGAACAGAAAATGCGTATAGAAGCCACTGCTTCCTGTTGCAGGGCACATCATATATATCACTGTATATGTATTTTTTTAAGCTAGACTGCATTTTCTCATTTTTTTAATATAAATCCCCAGCCGACTTGTCAAACGAGGAGATGCCATTGTTTAATATCATTACATAATCTTGGATCTTTCAGAACCCACGAAACAGTGAACCCAGAATGCCATGAACATTTTATTAGTTTCTTTTAAAGACTTACGATCTGTGAATACCGACTCTTGGAATAGCCAACATTAAGATCCCCTTTGCAGAGGTTTCATAGGTTCTTACATCCCACCACATTAAAGGTACTAAAAGATTGTATCTTTGATTGAAAAAGTAACTTTACTGATGTGCAAGTACAAACTTGGTAATATTTCTCATGGGAAAATGACATTCAGTACACAGTTCTAGGACTGAACTTTTAAGGAACTGGCAGTGTAACCACGCATACAAAATGTGCATGCAATTGCATGCTTATTTTGCATTCCTTGGCGTCAACTTGTGCCGTTATTTGTAAGCCTAATTGGGCATTTGTGTTGTGCAGTTACTTGATTGGCTTTCAGTTATTCATATACTCAAATAATTATATAGCTATTTTGTATGCATCCTGTGAAAATCCAGCTCTGTTTGAAGAATGATGTAATTTTTAAAAGTAGTATGGACATGTTTGAGAATACCAAAACGATACAAATGATACTTAGTTCTGTTGGTTTCTTTTGAATCAAATGCATGTAATACTTTACGCAGAATTGTGTGAAAACACAATGGACATCCTCTATAGATAAAGCTGTGATATCATCTAACATTTGTTCAGGGTTAAGGGTTTGAAAGTGCAGTTACTTCTTGCGTACCTAGAACAACGCCTCCAGAGTGTTACTTTACAATTACTACAGATTATTATGGGTACATAACAGCAGGGGAGGCAACAATAATCTGTGGCTCTGAAAACAGCTGGAGCAAATTCATGACCAGTTAATGTTCCCTAGACTGACTTTTGTGCTAAACTTCGCAATATATAGGTACCTAGTCAAAACATTCAGTTAGTTAGCGTGTGCTAAAACACAAAAGCAAGTGTCCTATCACAACCAGTTTCAGAAACTACCGCCCACTGTTGCTAAACCATGGCCAGGTTTCTTCTGGTAGGTGAATTCTGCCGCTGCCTGTCTCCTAAACGGAGGTTAAGGAGCCTTATCTACATTTAGTGTGAGCCGCTTGTACTTTGCGATTCCTTTTGCTGTTGAATCTCTTCACGTAGCTGCTGGTGCTTCTCAGCAAGCCATCCCCCGGCCTCAGGCGCCCTCGCAGGAACTGCAGCAGGTTTGCAGGGATCTGTCGTCTCTTGTGGTAGATCCGACCCATCACAATGTATCTACTGCCTGCAAAATAAACGAGACTTCTGTGCTCTGATGGAAGTGTGGATTCATTCACTACGCTCACTCTAAGGGCAACAGATTTATGAATAGATGTGAAGTTGTACCCTGCAGAAATATATCCTGAACGTGCGGTGTAGTACAGCAGCACCCTGAACTTCAGTAGGACTTGTGGGTTGTGCATGCATGGAAATAATGATTTACTGTGTTGTACTGCAATTAGAAGCTTTTTGGAGGAAATACTGGTATTTGATAAACTTGCACTTTGAAGGAAAACCGGACTACTTACAAAGACATCAGCTTAAGCTCCTGCTTAAATTTTTTTGGCAATCCTGAAAACTTGCAATCATTTTGGAATTGGATAAAGTTAAGAAAGGACTACGCTACCTGACTTCTTCACGCAGTTGGTTCTCTTCGGAAAATTTAGAGAAACTGGGAGGGAAAAAGCCCTCCAGCTTAACAGTAAATACTTCTTTTTTTTTTTTTTTCCCCAAAATATCACAACAACCCAGGATAAGCCTATTAAACTGGGGCAGACTAAAATTGCACTGCATGCAAAAGGAACAGTGGAATGGATTTAGCTGGAATTATTTACCAAGTTTAAAGTCTGGACACGGTTTACTGCAGTTTAAAGTATCCACAACTAGAATGTGAACTCGAAAGAAGAAGCCATCAGGAGTAACATACAGGCGACTCATCTTGTATAATCCATCGCTGTTTACCAAAAGCGTAATCAAGTGGACTCCATTCCCCAGTCTTTCCGTG